CTTCCAGCAGCTGGTGATTTGCTACGACAAATCTCCTCGAGGGATAGAAACTTGCCTGGTCATGCTGGCTCAAGAGCTCTTCCTTGACGTTATAAGAAGGTACGCCGCTTTGGTTTAGCGATCTTGCATGATCCACGGGAAACACGGGAAGAGCGAACGCGTGATCATGCCTTGCGAGAGGAAGGAACTGGTGCTCCAGGCTCAAGGCTGCTGCTGGAAATGGTGGCGGCGAAGCTGCGGGAGTTGATGATCGAGGCGATCCAAGCCGTGATTGGCAGTCTTGGAAGCTGTAGATTGCGCTGGCATGATCGGCGCCGATAGCTAGAGATGATTGCCGGTGAGCGAGAAGATCACGCAGAGCATTTTCCTGCTGCTGCTGCTGCTGGTGATGGTGGCTCTTCTTCCTGGCGCTCAGGTCTTCTCCGCTCGAAGTCTCGCTTTGATCGTGCTGCCTGCTATTCAACGAAGACGAAGGACTCGTCTCCAAAGGCTTCGCGGAGGAAGTCTCCTTCGCTCTCTTCATCATCTCGCTACACCCCTAACAGAGCAAAGAACTAGTGTAAGTTGATGATCATAGTTCTCTTGGACAAAACTATAAGAACGTCTTCAAGGGGAAAGTATGGAGAGCTTCTTACTTTCTTGTAGATGGTGCCATCTTCCTCGACGTGCCAGCCCGCCTCGTCGCACAGCGCCTTGAGAACCTCGTTGTGATCGGCGTGCTTGGGGAGAGCGTAGCCACCATGCGCTCGCAGCCCAGCAAAGATCTTGGCCGCCACCGCGCGGCGCCGCCTCTCCCTCTTCTTGTTGTTCTCGCGCTCCCGCTCCGTGGGATTCCTCCACACCACGCCGCCTTTCCCAGCCGGCCTCTTGACCTTCCATGGCCCGGAGGTGGGCTTGATGCAACCACGCACCGTGCATTTCCTTCCCGGCCTGGACGACGCCGACTCCTCCATTGCGACTTGATCGATGCTCGCGAGTGCTCGTGATCCAAGCGAGAAAGAAGACTGTTCTAGAGAACGCTTGGCGACGATCCTATCTCTCTCCAGCAGCGCTCATATCTCGACTAGAGTCTATAAGATACACAGCGTGTGGGAGAAGCCAGCTCGAGGAAAGAGAAAAAAATCCTCTCTCTCTCTCTCTCGCGGTGGCTTGCACTTCACGAAAAGATAACGATCGAGAATTGGGATGGAGCAGCGACGATCTTAGAGCTGGAAGCTGAGAATTGGAATGAGGAAGAAAAAAATCGTGACTGTCTGACCGACCAAATTCTCCCAGCAACGAGAGCGAGAGAAGAAAAAAAAAGAGAAGAAATAGATTTGGATTGAGCAAACTTTCGCTTACAACTTTTTTTTGTTCTTCCGACTCGCCCTCACTGTGGTTAATCCTTTTTTCTCCAAGCTGCGCTGGGGACTATCATTTAGATTTGTCGCCAGTGGCAGCGGTCAGGAAAAACGAAACGAAACGCTATCAAATCTCACCGGGTGTCAGTGTTCTTCACTGCCGGTAAGTTTTCGCTAACATTTTTATCTCGTCTTAAACAAAGTTGGTAAGAGAAAAGAAAACATTCTCAAACGAAGCACAGGGTAATTATTTCCAATTACCAGTGCCAAAGTTTTTGGTATTTTGCGATCACATTCACCTGCGCTCGAAAAATCTTGCCACATTTTCTTTTTTTTCTCTCGGTCCAATCAAAGGCGAGTGTTGGCTTTCCGTTGCGTTGCCTAAAACTACGATGCCGCCAAAACGCCACTATTGCGCAGCGTGTCAGCCATTTCCATGGGCTCCATGTCCTGGGATATTCCCAGACGTGGCGAGGCATATACCCCTCCCGCTGTGGATTATCCCGCGGATATGCTGCCAGGAAGTCTCACGCCAGACAATCATGGTTGATCATAATCTTAAGTAACAACTAGATTCCAGCGAGCGGCAGCAGAGCCTTTTGGTTTTTTTTTCTCATTGGTTCTCTTTTGGAGGAACTCTGTTCTCCGTCGTCGAGAGAGAATGGATTGCGAGAACAAATCGAGGAGCAAATCTTCCCTGCGAGCGAGAATTTCTTCTGTAACGGCTTCCAACCTCCAACACTGATCTTTAATATTCCTTCGCAAAATCTACGTCTGGAGCAGCACAAAAACAAAACAAGACAAGAAGGAAATCCAAAAAAAATGGGAGGAGCTTACCAACGTCGTCTCTACTGCTCCGGACCAGTGCCTGCGATTTGCGACCTCCGGATCCCCCAAAAGCCTTTCGGATTCATGCCGCTCTTTGCAGCCGTGAATCTCCATCCCATATGTGCGTCGCACACGCAGTTCGCGATCGTCCAGGCATAGCTACGATAGAAAACAACTCAAGTGAGAGAGAAGAGGAAGAGAATACTGTAATCTTACCCGGGAAACCAGCTGTGCTGTGTTTCCGGACGACCACGTAAGTTGAGCCCCTGTGCTTTGCGAAGAGTAAGCGTCTCATGCACGTAGCCGTGCTCGTTCACGAAAGCGTTCATAGGACCGTCAGCAGACATGACAAGCATGTCACTCCGCCTAGCAATTGTTGCCTGAAAAAAACATTTACAGATCACATGTAAAGAAAAACAAAAGAGAGAGGCCTACTTTGCAACTCTTGCAGCGAATGAGATCCATACTCTCGAGAAGCTGGACTTCCCTTCGCAGCCTGTAAACGACGTCCAACTCAAGAAGCTCCTGCCTAGTCTCGTCTGGAAGCGGCATCTTGCTAGCAATGAAGAACGACAGTAGTCCAGGATTACCGACGAGTTCATCCATGCTAGGAAGCTCGACCATTTGTCTCCACATATCTGGGATCAAGCAGAGTTAAGACCACCGAGGAAAAAGCTCTCAGAATTTGTTTTTCTGTACCTTACCTGCTGCTCTGCGAGATAGATCATACGCGTCATACATCCGGTAGACCCAGTGTGGCCAAGCAGCCCGTTGTCCCCTAGAAATCCACTTGGCCTCGTCTCTAGCCCAAGCTTTGGAAGCACCACCCCACTCTCCATCCGAGCGGGACCATTTACGAGTCATGGCGTTTTCAGAGCTCTCGCCAGCTTGGTTTTGATTAACAGGCTGAGACGATGTTGCTGGTAAGTTTCTTTCCACGGACGGTGAAGTATCCAGATCCTCTACATTCCGTCTTCTGAGCCATCTGGGAAGTACCATACTACCGTCCTCTTCGTCACTGTCGTCGTGGTGAAACTGTAGTAGCAGATGCGTCAGAGTTCCCTGGCCATTCAGGAACCGTGTCACTTGACTCCTTATATCACCACTAGCTTCAGGGCCCGCGTCCAGAGGTACCTCATCGTCGTCTTCCACGGGATCAGGAGACTCATGAATGGCACGAGGGACTTTTCCACTTTCTCTGCTGGGCACAGCAGCCTTGGCCGAAAAAGCATCTCTTGGGACTTGCAAAGGTCTCGTTTCTTCAAGTATCTTGACTAGACAACATGGCTGAGGAAAGAAAAGAGAAATAACAAAGCATCCGGGAAATGAATATAAAATCTCGTTACCGTATCATTGTCATCACTCCACGCATCTTGAACTCGAAACCTTTGACGGCCCCTTGCAACAACGGTGATGGAACCATCAAGTGAGTGCCTTAGTTGACGAATCTGCTAGTTGCAAGCAAACGTAAATGAGCAAAACCGAAACGATGATGTCATACCTCAGCTGTGGTTCCCACGAGAGCAGGATAAACAGCATTGTCCTTCCGCCCAACGTGAAGCTGGAAAATGAAAACCGGGGAGATTAAAGAACTACTGATTCTTACTGATTAAAGAACCGGTTAATGCTTACGTATCAGGAAATAGTGCTGCACATAGCTAAGTTAGAAAGATTTTCTCTCCATCAACACACGTTACTGTCTGGCAACCATCTAAAGAAAGCATTGTTTTTTGAAGTGCATGGACAGAAATGCAAACCAAGAAGAGTCAGAACAATACCACAGCGAGTGTATACGGTGCATGGTCCTGACTTATAGCCGTCACGACGGCGGCCTTACACCTCCGCCGCACAACTTTGAGAGGAAGCGTGGCTTCTGGAAAAAGAACAATGCCTGCAAAAGAAAACTTTAGAAGCGATCACCCCAAAGGCACAAATCTTCACCTTCCAAGTATAAAATAGGAAGCCTCACGACGCTACCTTCTTCCAGGAACGCACGAATGTGTCCCGTGTCGTCCACATCTACCGAGTTGACTCTAAGATCTGGACCGATAGAACAATAAGATCTTACCACCAAGGTACACGTGTCTGCTCGCTAGAGATGTATCAAACGTGAATCCAGGCCGAGGAGCTCTAGCGATGCGTCCATGCCTGCGTAGCAACGTTCTTTTAGTTCTTGCCAGAAGAAACGAATATCTAAATCATGAATCCTCAAGAACTTATTCGCAGCAGAAGAAAACACACAAGAATTCCTTGAAGAAAAGGTCTGTGGTTCATGAACAAAAAATGCAGATCATACCAAAGAATTCCGAGGCAAAGAACACATGAAAAGAAAAGAATAGATCAATCAAACAAGCTAGCAATCCCATAATCCAATGATCGAAAGAGAAAAATGGAGCTACCTGATGTGCGAATCATTGTCTTCCTCCTCCTCCTCCTCCTCGAGCTCTTCCATCTCGAGCGCCTCGATTTGCTCCACCTGATGCCGCTCATTGTCCGTCATCCGGCGACGGCTCTGCTGCTCCACGACGTGATCCAGCGCCGCCTCATCGATCCCTCCAGCGCCATCCTCGTGTTCTTCGTCGCTCATACCTCGCTCTCACCCTAAATAATATTTCATGCCAATCCAGAAAGCTAGGGTTCTTACGTCTCGTCCACAATGGCGCCCACAATATTATGGCGCCCACACGTATGTCTCTTTTAAGCTCGATCGCGCGCTTGGCTCTCAATCGCGATTTTCTACCGCATTCTTTCTAGGTAGGCTTTAGATCGATTCTCTTGCATTTTACCCCGGATTCTTGCGTAGTTCTCAGCTGCAAGAAGGAAAAAAAGATATAGATAGAATTTCTTAGTACTCCTTTAAAGTCGAACGTAGTTTCTGACAACTCACACAGATCTTAGAGATTTCTAAAATCCTCAAAGAAAGTATAAAAGAGAGCGCCTCAGGAGGGAGAAAACATACTAGAGTACGCAAGCTTTTGCAAAGTGGATGATGGAATCATCCCACCATGCTTTCTTTCTAATCGCAAGTGCCTTCCTTTTTTCTCCTTATTCTTTGCTTTCTCTTTGTTCTCCGTTTGATTTGATTCAAACCGAGCTGACATATTCTTCGTGCTCCTCCTTGTTGTCAGGAATTGCCGGCGGTGCCGCGCTCGATTCAACGTAGCCGCCATACACATACGATACGAATCCCCAGCAGGAGAGGAGCAGAGCCATGACTTTAAGCCCACCAAAAGCGTCATGGAAGAAGATATATGCAAACACTGCTCCCACTGGGATCACCACGGTAAGAATCACTCCAGCCAGCAGCGACGATGAGAGAAAAATAACACCCATTGTTCCCAGGAACGCAGCTTGCCAGGCCAGAGTGGAGCACAACAAAGTCACGAAGTAGGCGAGACTTCCGGCCTTGAACACCGCGGCCTCGACGTGAATGGCCTCAAAGTCGTTGTTGATGGCCATGCCGACAGTGGAGACGATGGTAGCAACCAGCGCGGTGGAGGTTTGCATTTGCAAGACTAGCAAGGTGGACTTTCGGCCCAGGACTTTGGCAAAGACGAGCTCGGTGAGGGACAGGATGAGGCCGTAGAGTCCAGCAGCAGTGATCGTCATGACATAGCCGTGCCCCGTCTGCTCCCGGCTAACTCCCGGAAGCTCGTCGGAGCTGGAGTGGAGGCCCAAGAGCACGGCACTGGAGCTGACGAGCACGATGGAGTTCCAGACGTATGGGCCGATGCTCTTCCGGAGGAGGAACAAGGCGAAGAGGGAGTTGAAGGCGAGCTGGCTGGATGTCAAGAGTCCTGCAGTGGAGGCCGGGAGATACGACATCCCCCACGAGTAGAGGAAGTTGTCGAGAGCGATGAGGCAGCCGATGGAAGCGAAAGCAGCGACGAGTTTGAAGCTGAAGGGTGCGAGAAGGTGGTGGTGGCCGGGGGAATCGCTGCTGCTGCTGCTGGCTTTGAAGTAGACGATCAGCATTGCGAGCGCACAGACCGGCCAGCCAGCGGTTTGGACCCAGCCGCAGAGCCAGCGCCGGGAGCCACCGTTGGAATAGTAGAAGCGCATGAGCAGCGTGGCGGCGATGAAACCGACGAACATTCCGGTGGAGCTCAGGCACAGGAGCAGCCAGTGCTTGCGGCTCTTGCTCCTCAAGGCCCGCGCCAAGGCCGTGCTCCATTCGCCATCGAAAGCACTCAAGCCTGGAAAACCAAAATACCAACACCGTACGTTTCGGTTCTTTATATGCAAGGTGGATCTCACCTTTGGGCATGGTCTCTTCTGGAGCAACTTTGTCGGCATTGAGCTCCGCCATAGATACTCGGCTATTTTGTCGATCTAGCAGCCTAAAATTCTCTCTTTTCCAGGACTGCAAGTGAACAAGCTGCGATACGATTATAAAACTCGAGCTCGCAGCTACTGGCAAACAGCGGGACGTGATATTGGGCGACAATGACAAGCACAGGCGCAGGCATGCACTCTTAAGTTGGATACACTCTTCCAAGCGCTCGCGCGCTCGCCATTTCTTTATAGTGAGGACACACCCATTGGGAGGACGGATGCGAAACCATGACATCACAGGCTTTGATGTAAGATCGTCTTTTTCAAATCCATTTCTCACAGGACACCTCAAATTCTTTGGCAAAGACATATAATATAAGCATCATGCTGGTCAGTGTCTCGGGAGTGTCGTGGTGGATTTCAGCCTCAAACTAAAGTTTTTGATTCTCTCATGGATAAATTCGCTTACTGTTACTTGTATATAATACAATGGCCATTAAGTCAAAAAGGAAATATTTTGGCATATAACAAGCATCATAGCTCTCCAACTTTGGAGCCTTAAAAACGCTCTGACCGCACAAATATAAGTTTCCGGCCCATTCACGAGATTACAGCTGACGATACTCCTAAGGATTAAGCAAGACCACGCTTTCAAGAAAGAAATCTAGAATATTTTAGAGAAGTTTTTTAGAGTACCTTGTGAGCTTCGAACTTCTCTCGCGTGTAGCAAGAGCCAATTTCCTGATTGAGGAGGTGCGCATATGAAACAGTATAAAGCCAGGAAACTTTACCACAGAGAGAGAGACAGATGTTCCAGGAAGGCCTGCTGCCGTCTTGCAATATCCCCGAGCATGATTTCCAAGCGATTCGCAGCAGCAACTGCTCGGGGGAAATGGAAGAGTTTTTGACGCTCTTTAGAGAATCGTCCGAAGGCTCACGCGTGGCAAATACTTTGGAAGCAGGAGGAGTATCTGTCTGCAATCAAGAGTGAAAATCAAAATCTTACAAAGATTGCCTTTTCCCTGGAAAGCGAACCTGGAGATTTGAGTGCGGAGTGTGCGGAGTGCGGAGTGTCCAGCACAGGGACCGTTGAAACTGCGCCCCTCAAAACGGCTTCCCTAGTTGCTGGACACAAAGCTCGCTCCGATGATGGATGGAATCACACCGTTAGCTCAATCATTTTAAGACGAGCTTACCTGGGAATATAATCGATTTCATTCGCTCAATCGCGCTCCTCACAGCCTGAGTAAAGGGGCAAGAGAAAAGAGAACAATACGGGGCACCACAGACCTTCTGATGTAACCTTTCCAGCAGAGCTGTAAGATTTTAAGAAATCGCACGGACCATATCTCAGTGGAGCATCTCGGCACATGCATCGTAATTTTATATAGTCCGCGGAGCCTCCTTTCTACGTAAGCGAACAGTTGTCCCCTCTTACTAATCTTCCTCCGGGTCCTCCATTAATGTCGTGTCATCCAAATAGTGCTGGCCACCGTCAACGTTGTTGGAAAGCATGCTAGCATCGATATGTTTCCATTCGCTTTGGAGCTCATCCAGAGCTTTCGAGGCAGCACGAGAGACCTCGAGATTTTCGTCTTCAGCTAATCTCTGGCCAGGGGCATAGGGCGCGTGGTAAATGCCGCTGTATGGAAAAAAAACAGAGCTAACCTGTAATGCGCTGATTCCAGCATTTCCAAGGGCCAAAAGAGACGGTGCATTTGCAAGGGCATCAACTAAAGCACGCCTGCGTGACAAAAAGGAATTAACGACCTCGGACCACAATTCGCAAGATATAGAACATAAAAGGCCTTGCCTGGTTGCAATATCTGGAGAGCTCGCGGTCTGCGTGACAAGAGTTGCACCACTTGCACCATGAACTTCATCCATATCGAGAAGTGTTGCTATTATATATTCGAGCTAGACAGATGCAAACATCAGCAGGAATTGAAGCAGGATATTCATATACCTCATCCGGATCACTATCGTCCAAAACATTGACCTCCGCCAACAGTGACGCCATTTTCACGTAGGCTTCCTGTTGACTAGACGTGTTGTGTACGGCTTAGAAATTGTTACAACAAGTGAAAGAAAGAGACCTCAAATTCGGCAACTCGGTCCAAGGTTGTTTTCTTTACAGGACGTGAAGTTTCGTCCGTACCAGGATTCAGCGTTGTAGTTTCAGCATTTTCTCTGCAACCAAATAATAAAATGCTCACTACCGCAAAGAAAAAACACAAAATCTCTTACTTCATCAGCAACACCTTGACGGCAGCATCATGAATGCTCTTCACTGCCTGCATGCGGAAGGAGAGTCTTACACATTCATATTTATATGCAAGCCACCTGAACAGTTGCAAAAGAATCTTCCATAGCTCGTCTACGAGCTCGTAAATCGGCCAAGCGGAGATCGGCCTGTAAGAGGAATACATTACGATCGAAAGAACAGGACTTAGGAGCTTACATCCAGAGCTCCGTCATTCCAATGCTCAGTTGCTGCTACTTTCAATTCGCTGCCTGCAATCTCCTTCAACTTCTGAAAATGGGAGAATCACAAGAGAAAATAAAACGGAAAAAACTTCAGCTGGGGTGGAAATCATCCTCTAAACTAAATACTGTGGCTATACGATTGACGCGGTCAGCCTTTCTGTGCGCCCTCTCCCTGGCACGAGCTTTGGAAAAAGAATTATATAAACGTCAAAGCAAAATGATAGAAGTTCCAGAAGGATGTTCTTACCATCTAGTTTTGTCACTGTCGATCCTATCAACGCCATGTCTTGGCGAGCACGCATGTCCAATCTCGAAAACTCCCTGCCATGGTAGAAATAAGAAACAAGGCTACAAGGCTCTTACTCACCGAGCTAAAAGAAGAAGATTACTTCGAGCTTTCTCGTCCATATTCTGCGCTGCGGCCGTCACAAGCATCGCATCCTGCCGGGCATATTTCGCCGCCTCGGCTAAGCGGCACTGGTGCCCAGACTTGTCTTGCTCTTCCAAGCCAGACGAGCCATTCGGCTTCGCAGCCCGGCAGCAGCACGGCTTCGCGGCGGCGGCGCTGCCGCAATCCCACGCGCGAAAGCTCGATATTCTTCCATTCTCGCGCACTCCCGCCTGGATTCTCATGACTTACAGCGGCGGTGCTCACGCTGCTAGGGTTCTTGCTCGCTTTGCCATGCCGGGGCCCCCGACCTAGACAGTGCTAAGTAGTGGCCACGAGAGCGCCACAAATCAAAGACAAAAAGAAAATGATTCCAAAGCTGAATATCCCGCCCCTAACAGAATGTACAGAATATCCCCTGACTGAATATACAAAGCAAGCAGAATATGCTTGCAGGTTGTGACACGTGGCGGTCGGGTGGCAATGTGCATATACGCCACTTGGCAAGAGGGTTTTAGCTCGTCGATTGATCGAGAGGAAGAAGAGAATGGCTGCTGTTGGGCCTGGGCCGGTGGCGACGAGGGAGTATGTTCCTGGCGATGCCAAGGAGACCAAGACCAAGGTCTTGGAGTCCGGCGCTTCAATCCTCCAAAGCTTCGCTCCAGTGAACAAGATCCATCAACATCTTTGCGCGTAAGATCGCAAGCTCCTTCTAGATCTCTCTCGCCTTTGTTGTTGTTGTGGTTCCCGATTTTCTCTTCTCTGTTTTGGAAGAAGCTTTTCTCCATAGAGTTTTTGGTGTTCCAGCTTCCCTCTTGTGCGTTTTCCTGCCACGAGAAAACATCAACTTAGAGCAAAGAAGTTTCTCTTTTTGCTTGCCTTTGGCTGACGCCTTGTCTTGGTTTCTTCTCAGCTTCCACGGCTATGGACACGACATGAGCCGCCAGGTAGAAGCCCACCACTACTGCGGCCATGTAAACGAAGACATGCGGCAGTGCGTTATATACGACAGCGATGACGCGAACGCGAGGCTCATCGGCATCGAGTATATCATCTCCGAAGCTCTCTTCATGGGGCTGCCGGACGAGGAGAAGAAGCTCTGGCACTCTCACGAGTACGAGGTGAAGAGCGGCATCCTCTTCTGTCCGGGCCTGCCCGAGATGGCCGAGCACGCCGAGCTTGCCAAAGTCGCCAAGACGTATGGCAAGACGTTCCACTTCTGGCAGTTTGATCGAGGAGACGCGCTGCCTCTGGGGCCGCCGCAGCTCATGATGTCCTTCACAAAGGATGGTCAGCTCCACGATAAATTGGCCAAAGGTAAGACTTTGTTGTACCTCTAGTAATGCTGATCACTCCGTGATTGTCTAGATGTCGAGGAACGATATGGCGTCTCGTTTGCTGCGAAGAAGAAGAAGCGAGCTGATATGAAAGGACCCGACCTTGGAATTCATTCCCTGGCTGACTACTGGGAGAAAGGAAAAGGCTTCCAAACTGTCGTTAAGGAGATGTAGGCGTGGTGTTAGTCCAGGAACTAGAAACTAAAAGTGAATGATGTTCTTCAAAAGGCACCTGGATTACACGCTTGTCTAGAGCCTCTCTTTGACTATGAATGTACGCAGCGTGGTGCCTCCTCTTTCCATCACCTCAGTCTGCCTGTGGACTCTTCGTCCCCTTCCCTCAAGGCAAAATGCACTAGGGACATGTCTGCAGTGAGCTATCTTGATTGTGGAAATGGATCTCCAGTCTCCATCCTAGGATGGAGAAAGCATGTAAGATTTTATATACTGTGTCTAGTTTACTCACCTGAGGCGTGTTGAAATGCCCTGACGTATCACATGAGTCCAGAGATAAGCATCTCAGCAGTGGGAACTGCAAATAGAATATCTTAGAGATCTTTCAGCTACCCCCGCCCAGATTTAAGTACCTGATACGAAGCATCCATTATGAAGTTCCTTGGCAGACCAGCTCCCTGCTCAAAGCAAACGAATTAAGTAAGGCATTCCCAACGTTTCCATCTTACATTATGACGTAATGTCAACGATTGGAGTCCATACAAGCAGAGTAAGACAGCGGCACCTTCCCTTGTAGCCTCACCACAATCCTGCAAATAAGAGAAAGAGCGTCAGCTAAGACGTTGGTTCTAGATGTTAATTCAAACCTCCAGCTTAAGTTCAGAAAGTGCAGGCCAGGCTTTAGAAATTATGCTCAGAGCACCTGTTGACAATAAGAAAACTGTTATGTGGAAGTACGAAGAAAAATAAGATTTACAGACCAGAATCAAGGCAACGGCAAGCCGTCAGTGACAGTTGACGCAGACCTTTACAAGAAGTCGCAATTGATGCAAGTTGAGCATTTGTAAGCGAAGGGCAAACATCTTCAAGCTTCAGAGAGACAAGATTGGAAGTTAAAGATTCCAAAAACTTTCCCGACAATGGCTGCAAAGTATGACGCAGTTTCAGCGTAGTCAAGAATGGTAACTTCGCTATTGCATGATTTAAGTCGTCATCTAAAAGGTCCTGCAATCATGGAGAAAACCGTAAGTAAATAGATAACGCAAACAACTGATCTTACCTGGAGAGACAGAGAAAGATGTTGTAACTGTGGACAACGACTGGGAAGCTCACGAAGAAATGTGCTGGTAATCTGTGCTCCGAGTCCCAGGTGAAGTGTTTGTAAAAAGGGAAGTTTTGCGTTTGCCAGTATGTGTGCCACACCCCACCCGGCTTTCAACCTACGAAGATCCAGTTTTTCCTCTTTCAAACCTTCATACGAAAATGCTCCTCTACAGTCTCTGAAGTTCAGACTTGTAAGTTTAAAATTTTTTCTGATTGTGTATGATATAGCCGCTCCAGTAACCTGCATTGCTAACATTTTAAGTGATTCTTGCAAAAAACAGCTTACGCGATCCTTACCTGCGTTCCTCGTATATTTAAAGTTTCCAGAGAGGTTCCACAAGACAGAAAGAGGCCATCATCAATGAGGTTCGTGTAACAAAGCGATAGGCTTAAGAAACTGGATATTCGTGTCAGCAGACGAACAAGAGCTCCAGCAGACAATCCTGTAGTTTTGTGAGTTGAATTTTCTTCGGTTAAACACATGAAAGAGATCAGGAAACCTGTACAGTAGGCAAGGTCCAATACTTCCAGGTTACATTCTTGATCAGAAGCCGCCAGTAATGCACATACAGATTGAAATCCAAATGCGGTGATAGCAGCTCGGAGAAACCGCAGTTTTGGATGGCCTTGCAAAAACTTTGCAATGCCCGAGTCACTGAGATTACTGCATCCACTTAATGAGATTGCAGATATACTTGGACACTTTTTCGATATCAAAGATAACTCAGAATCTGTGATGCAAAGCAGATTAACGCATGGTAGCAAAAAGGAGTATACTTAGAAGACGGACCTTTGAGCTCAGTATGCCCCGTAAGATGAAGTTCGACTAAATAACGATGAGTGTCCCATGAACCTTTCTTGTACGAAGTCGTCAACAGTTTTCCAGTACAAGGCTTCTTCACGGTCGCAAGGTGGATAACGCTTAAATCTCGAGAAAAGTCCGCTACCTCAATAAAAGGGCAAGCCGAAGCCAAATGCGATAGGAAAAAAGCCGAAAATTGAGGACACTGCGACACGTTCAACTGTTGCAGGCTTGAGCACGTCGTCTTTATCCAAAGAAATAGCTCCTCTGGTCTTACTCTCCAGCACTTACCGAGAAGCAAAATTCGAAGGCTGTTCAAAAGTGGAATACCGGATCTATCTGGTTTGTTAACTTCTTCTGATACGCTTGGAAGTTGCATTAGCTCAAATTGCGTCCTCTCTTCTTGAAGAGGATACAGGCTGACTAGGTGATTGAGGAACGGACCAGCTGCAGAAGAGTTTGAATATCGAGAAGAACTGTTCAGGAATGAATGAAGTATGTACTCTCCTTCAACTTTTATAGGGGAACAAAGAACCGAGTCGAACAATATCACGTCTGTAACTTGCTGGCATCCAGTAAGATTTAAAATCTATCAAGAAAAGAATAAAATAAATCACAAGAAAGCACAAAAACAAATATCTGACCTTTGTGTATTGAGAAAGGCGAAGGCCCGCGGATTTTATTTCAGGAGGTTCCAAAGGAAGGTCACGATTGTGGGAGTTCAATAATGAGTTATCCGACTGAGCTGGATAGGTAGAGAAGTGTAAGAAAGAAGAAAAGACACGTATTATGGATCCACCGACCTGCTAGAAAGTCCACCGGCACCCAATGCATTCTGACCTGTCTCGGTAAATGATTTTAGAAATGAGTTCATACAGAAGGTATAATAATGTGCAACCTTGCTTATTAGCTCGAGTGCGCAATCCCTTGTTTCAAACCTACACCTGCGTAAGATAGCCTGGAAAAGGTTTCTCTCGCTGTAAAAGAGATTGTTGTTGGCCACAAGACATAGCTTTGTAAACAACCGCACCTGGATATTGTGAGAAATGGATGGTTTACAGCAGCTTGAAAAAGTAAAAGTGGAATGTTTTCGAGGAATTCACCAGAGCCCGCATCTTCCTGAAGTCACTGCCGCTGGACCAAGTTACTTCCATAAAGAGAGGAAACAAAGTTAAAAGGTTTACTTACAAAGTTGATTGCGAGGTAGCGCGCGCAAGCACTGGCAATAGTAGGGACTCCTGAATGCATACCACAGGTTTCCTTGTGATTTCAGATATTAAGAAACAAACCTGTTTCAGTGGCAACTTTCCAGAGACGAGGAACGTACTGCAAAACATCTTGGTTGTCTCGAGAACACGAGAGCATGTCAGAAGCAATCCAAACTTGACACTCAGAAATAATAGAATCGCAGCCAAAAAATGTGGCGCCCTGCATGCAAAGAGCAAAGAGATGAAAAGAAGAAGCTATACTTGCGATGGTTTTTACCTCAAGCAAGTCTGCGACGCTGCAAGGAGCTACGTCGAGGCGCTCGAATAGAATTCCTTGCAAAATGTTGGCTAGAACTTCCAAATTCCAAGTCACAACAACGTGATCACTATGGGCCTCCCTGAAAACGAAAAGGATTAACCGAAATCCCGAGTCGAGCGATAGACAAGAACCTGAAATTGCTGAAGAGCGATCGAAAATAGCTGGATCGCTCCGATAATCTGTAGACCCTACGTTAGCAGGAGCGAATATCTCGACTCGCAAACGTACATGACCCTGGACGCACGCAAGAAAACCTTGCACTTCCTCGCGAGAAGCAGCGGAATCCAATCCTCCCTCTCCATCGCCGCAGCGTGAACCGCAGCTCCTCCCTCCTCGCAATCGCTGTCGCGGAGCTCCAAGATCACCTCGTCCTCCATCGCGAGGATGGAAACCCTGAGATTTTAGGCTACATTTTCACAGACATAGAACATTCCCGCGGAGGAATTGACGATGAATCTGGACCGTCGGATCATGGTCGGTGCCTTGTCTTGTCAGCTAACCGGCCCCAGATCTACCTGTGTGCTTGGCCATTGCAGCGAGGGCATTGGGTCTTCTTTTTCTCACACTCTCCGCGGTTAAGATTCCAGATTTGTGGAGAAGTTTCTCTTGTGTGGGAAGAACTGGCAATCGATCAGGATGGCGCGGAGGTGCTCGCATTGTGGCCACAATGGCCACAACTCGAGGACGTGTCCGGATCGCGGCATCCGGTTGTTTGGCGTGAGGCTCACGATGAAGGCCACGGACGGCGCGAGCGGCGTAGCGATGCGGAGGAGCGCCAGCGCAGGGAATTTGGTGACAATGCAAGCAATCGCGACGCCGACGAGCAGCTCCGCGGTCGCGTCGGAGCAATCTGAGTCGGGCGGCGATGGCTACGCCTCGGATGGGCTCGTCCAGGCGTCGAGCTACGCGAGAGCGAGGAAGAAAGGTAAATTGCAGCCCAATTCTCGCCCATTCTCGCGATCTCTCGGCTTGGGTCGCTTCCAATCCTCCTCAATTCACGTCGTCCACACCGCAATTGGCTGAATCTCTCTGGAAATTTTCCAGGTGTTCCGTGGAGGGAGGAAGAACACCGGCTGTTCTTGGTGGGTCTCCACGCGCTGGGGAAAGGAGATTGGCGGGGGATCTCGAGGAATTACGTGACGAGCAGGACGCCGACGCAGGTCGCGAGCCACGCGCAGAAGTATTTCATCCGCCAGAGCAATCTCACCAAGCGCAAGCGCCGCTCCAGCTTGTTTGACATCTCCCCAGAGGTAAGAAGAAGCATCCACTTGTTCTTCCACTGACCTTGGAACAAGGACAGGCGGATTGTAATCCCCGGAGAAATCTTCGTGGCAAGCAGGCAATGGACGATGCAACGAGCTCGGATCCAAGGGAATCTCCCAGATTCCAAAGGCATCTTCCACCGCTCGCGCCCCAGGAGGAGAGCATTTCGTCATCTTCCGTGGAAAATCCGCGACAGTGGCTGTGTATATCCACGTCGCCAAATCCAGCGGCGGATAAGTTAGCGGGGCCTAAGCCCAAAACCCCTGCTAAAACCTTAGCACTGGAGGAGGAACCGGAGGACCTGACGAGGCTAAGCCTCGGCTCCGCCAACTTAGTGGCCCCGCCTAATCTGGAGAAGCTTGCCCCCACTTCGGAGCCAATAAGCGTAGTTTAAACCAGACCTTGAAAAACGTACATACCTTTTATTTGACTTTTTACTGGAGAAAGGGAATACGAGCAGGAGGAGATATGGCGTATCCAAGCACGTGTTTCGTGTGCCAGGTTTAGGGCAAATATATCTATCAGAATTTACCCTTGCATTTTGTCCAATGGATAAAGAAATATATATACGGCAGGAGAAAAGATAAAAATGCATTGCAGTTATTTTACCCCTTTTATTATCGCAGTGAGCTGGAGAGAGTTTTGGCCTAGGTCTGAAATAAAATTAGGGTTTGTGCGTGCGAGTGGAGCTCACAATCGAGGTAAGCGTGCGAGCCCGAGAGCACGGCGCCGGCGCATCGCGTGGATTACCAGGAATGCGCGTTCGAAATGGAGGAGATTTCTGGCAGCAGCAGCGGCAACAGCAGCAGCAGCAGCAGCAGCAACAACGGCGGCGACGAGTGGGCGGCGAGAGGGCTGGAGAATGAGCCCCATTCCTCCATGCCCGAGTTGGAACAACAGGAGCGCCGGATCCTGAGAGGGAAAGGTCTAGCTCGCAGCTCCAGCGGCATTAGCGGCAGTGAGGACATTGGAACGAGCTCCACTGCCGCTGGCGCTGGCGAATCGCTCAGGGGGTACCAGAGCAGTGCTGCGTTGAAGGCTTGCTCGGATTCCCTGTCTCTGGGGTTTGAGTTTGGGGATGTAGATGGTTCCAGGATCGCGGCGGAGATTATCTCGGAGCTTGGGCGGGGGCTTCGCAATCAAGCCGAGGCACTGAGGATCATGGAAGAGGATACTCCTGAGACCGAGCAGCAGTGTTTTTTGCTAGCGCCTCCGGGAGCTAACAAGTCCCAGCTACACAAGCTTTCCAAGAGGACGAAGCTTGTTACTTTTGCTGCGTAAGTCTTGGTGGTTTTACCTTCCATAAATTCCTTTTGGATTTTTTATGACACCACTGCAGGCGTAGGAAGACTCGAGAGACGCAGGCTTTTGAGCTACAGATCCAGGAGCTTCGCAGGGAGATGTCTATCGCAGAGAAGGAGGAAGAGAAAATCGTTCCCATCGCGCCCCGGGAGGTGGAGCCAGAAGAACCTTTTGCTGGAGAGGCTAGGATGGATCTTACAGATGATTTGCTTCACAAGGTAACTTTTGTTTATTGATGTGGAGCTAGAATACCTGTTGAAACTGTGCAGGTTTTCTCTTATCTGGATGACGTCTCCTTGTGTCGTGCGGCAATAGTTTGTCGGCAATGGCGTGTCGCAAGTGCGCACGAGGACTTTTGGAAGATTTTGAATTTTGAAGGCCGACGGGTGACTCCGAAGCAAGGTGACCGCATCAATGTTGCAATTGTTTCTTACAAAATCTTCTGCAGTGAGAAACTTATGCCAAAGGTATCCCAACGCAATCGAGCTAAACCTGAAATGTAAAATTGTGGAGGATCTACTTGCGCTTGACGCAATCCGGAGCCTCAGGTGACGAGTAATTCAAGTGATTACTTTTTCATGCACTCATCCCTGTTTTTTCTTTGAATTTCAGAGCACTGCAGGTTCTTAGCTTGGGAGAGGGGTTATATGGTGATCCGTTCTTTCACGCTTTATCGGCCGAATGCGCTAGTTTGAGAACTTTGAGTATTTCAGACGCTGTCTTAGGCAGTGGAGCTTCTCAAGAGATACAGATCCGTCATGACCACTTGCTAAAACTCGATATTGTAAAATGCCGAGTTTTACGAGTTCATGTCCGGTAGGTACAGTGCTAAATGTTCAAGTTCTTGGTCCGTAACCTTATGTCTCGTTTGCAGAGGTTCACATTTGCAAGGGTTGTCTCTAAGACGCACAGGCACAGCTGCTGTAATACTTCACTGTCCTCGACTCTTGCGTCTTGATATATCGTCATGCCATAAGCTTTCTGATACTGGAGTGAGAGCAGCAGCGACAACCTGTCCACTTTTGTCGGAGCTGGATATATCTCATTGCTCTTATGTCAGTGATGAAACTCTGCGAGAGATTGCTATCGCGTGCTCAAACTTGAGGTCCCTTGATGCTTCAAATTGTCCTAACATTTCTCTTGAAGTAAGCATGAGAGTTGTAAGTTTGCGGATTAAATTCTGAGTCCGATTTTGCAGGGTGTTCGGATGCCAGTGCTCGTTTCTTTGACCCTTGTCAATTGCGAAGGAATCAATTCCTCGTCTATGACGGCCATCTCTCATTGTTACATGCTCGAAGTAAGTCAAGGATGGACTTTGCACCCTGTTAACTTTAGTCCTTCTCTTGCAGGAACTTCTTCTTGATTTTTGCTGGTTGCTGACGACGGTATCGCTAGACTTACCGCGCCTAAAGAAGATCAGTTTGACAAACTGTCGGAAGTAAGTCCTCTTTTGTTTTATGGTCCCTTTCACTTTTTGGCATCTTTCACTTGGATCAGGTTTTCAGAGCTTGCTCTTCGTTCGCCAGCTCTGACATCGATCGATGTCACAAAGTGTCCAATGCTCAACAGAATTGATATAAGTTCGAGTAGCCTTCAGGTAAAGTGTCGGCTACGTGTTATAAATTACTTACATTCTATATACATTTTCTAACAGAAGCTAGTTCTAAATCAACAACAAAACCTGGCGACCATACTTTTGCAATGCCCATCCTTGTACGAGGTCGACTTGACAGACTGTGACTCGCTTTCGAACTCTTTATGTGAAGTCTTCAGTAATGGGGGCGGATGCCCGCGATTGAGATCACTTATCCTCGACAGCTGTGAGGTATGTCCTTTCTGTTTCTCGAAATGGCAAGTGCACATGAGTACGCTGTGCAGGGTCTAACGGCTATAAGGTTATCGAGCTCATCGTTACTTTATTTATCTCTTGCTGGCTGCCGAACAGTTTCCTCTATCGATCTTCAGTGTCCAGAGCTTCAACGCTTGCTGTTAGATGGATGTGACCATCTCAGTCGGGCAAGCTTAAAACCGGTATGTTTTCTTGGTTGGGTAATTGATGACTTAGATGCTGCTGTGTTGTGGCAGGTCGGATTGAGATCCTTAAATCTTGGAATCTGTCCCCACCTGAAAACACTTGTCATCAGAGCGGATCAGATGGTGGCTCTTGATCTCAGGGGGTGTGGAATTCTTCGCCAGGCGGAAATCATTTGCCCGTCTCTCCTGTCTTTAGATGCTTCGTACTGCAGGTTTGATCTGATAACACGTACGTTACTTGGTTGTTACTGATGCTGTACTGTGCAGCCAACTAGGAGATGACTGTCTTGCGGCCACGAGTAATGCATGCTCGCTTATACAGTCCCTTGTTCTGGCGTCATGTCCTTCCGTGGGACCAAGTGGTTTGCTAGCCTTGAAGCAGTTGCCGGGCTTAACAGTTTTGGACCTCTCTTACACATTTTTGACCGACTTGTCTCCCATCTACGAAGCATGTCCTCAGTTGGAGGTCAGTGATTATCTTCGGAAAATTGTTGGGTGTTAAATTTTTTTCTCTCCAGGTCTTGAGGCTCTCTGCGTGTAAATACCTCGCCAACGACGCTTTGGTCGCCTTGCATGGTGGAAAACTACTTCCGGATCTGCAAGAACTTGATCTTTCGTATGGGAGCCTTGACCGGAATGCAATCGACGGGCTGCTGTCGGAATGTCCCCACCTCAAACACGTCAGTCTCAATGGCTGCTCCAACGTGTTTGACATCGAGTGGCCGTCTGCAAGCACCGAGGAGGATACCCATATGCACGATGCTGACCGTGAAGAACAGCCAATGGAAGTTTCAGCGGAGAGGTGCTTGCAGACTTTGAACTGCGTCGGGTGCCCCAACATCAAGAGAGTTTTCATTCCGTCATCGGCTGGTTGCCTCCATCTCTCGATTCTGAACCTCTCCTTGTCCACCAACATAAAGGAGGTACGACTGGCGTGCACGAACTTGATAGCTTTGAACTTGAGGTATGTGGATCGCATTCGCCTATCACCTTTGCCCTCTAACTTTGTGTTCTTTTAGTAACTGCCTGTCGCTCATGGATCTTAAACTGGATTGTCCCAAGCTCGTGAGCCTGTGTTTGCAGGTACTTAGTTTTCTTACGCCCAAAAAAAAAAACCTCTTTTCATCTCACCTCCTCGCTTGTAGGCATCTGGAATCGAGGAAGGCGAGCTGGAAGAAGCCATAAGAGATTGCAGTTTGCTGGAGACTTTAGACCTTCGGAACTGCCCAAAGGTGTGCCGACTTTCACTTTATTGCTCTTCTTTTCGCTAAAGCTGTTCCTTACAGATACAAACTTCTACCCTGGTGAAAATACGAGCGATTCGTCCTGGAATAAAGCGACTCTATAACAGTTGGGGGACACCCGGCTAGTAGCGCTGCTATTGTACAGGAAAAAGGAACAAAAGATAGCCGGCGACCAAAGATTATGAAAAGGAAAGGAGCTCCACCATCATCCAAGTGAGTGTGGATGGCTTGTTAGCATTGTTCGTGCTAATAGCCATATAGTTTTGACAGGATATTATTGCCGGATAGCTGCCACAGTGAAAGCCTCAAAAGGTCCATTGTAATATCATAAATTCCCAGTATGTATGTTCAAGCTTCTTCTTCTGTCTTCTTCCGATGGTTCCTTCTGTCTTCTTACATGTGAAAGAAACATGCCGATGAGATATCAAAACTCGAAGCATGAAAACTCTAGTACCTGGAGCTCGCTAAGTTGCTGCTGCAAATAGACCTTCCGAACCAGTGGAATTTGCGAGAGGTTTTTAAGTGCAGCGAGTTCCTGTTTACAATCTAAAGACTTTAGTATGAATCACAACGCAAATTCCAACTTGCCTTTTCTAGCTCTGTGAGTTCCAGCGAGTAGGCGTTGGACACACGCGCAGAGAGTTCTTCCGCACGCTGGATAGCCTCCTTTGCGAGGTTCCCAGTCACCGCAACCAATCGCCTCGTACCCTTGGCGACTCCCTCTTCCGAGACAATAGCAAATGCCTCGGCCTGTCTAGTGTTCGAGAGGTGCGTTCCTGATAGTCGAATTTAGCGAGCTTTTTCGTTGCTAAACGATATCAACTTACCTCCGCACAGCTCCACCGAATGGGTCACGCAAGATGGATCATTAAGTTGGCGAGAAAGGAGGGAGATAAGCTCGCCAAGGCATGGATCCGCACCATCTTCTGGGTGTGCTACCGCGTCAACCTGCCAGGAAAAGGCTGCCATCTCCTTCGATGATGCCTGGGAGCTCCACCGGAAATGCACTCCCGGCCAACTCGGCCAGCTCTCTTTCATCGTCAAGCGTCAACGCCGCGCCTGTGAGCCGATCAACAAGTTTGATGTTCTGAGAGCCTTCTCTCTAGGATTCCCCGCCGTAGCCGTCGAGGACGAGGCTGTGGCTGCAGCCATCCTTAACTTAGTTCTCGCATAACGGTACGAGTTCATCTGTTTTACATTTGTTTCATACAGCTCTTGACAATTCTCCCATTTGTTTCATACAGCTCTTGACAACTCTCCCATCTTTAGAACACTACCGCTAATGGTATGGTACTTTTTATTCTTGTTTCGTTCAGCTCTAACAGTTATCGCATTTTTAGGATGAAAAAATGTGAGCAGCGTGCTCCTCGGCTATGAGCATCGCTTTGCTGATTCCATCAACGTTGCTGCCCTGAAACAATATGAACATGTAAACGAGACGAGAAACTAATACAAGGAAGGAGCTTACTTGTCCCTGAGCAAACATGGACTCGCCACCACTGTTCCCATTCAATGGCTCCAAAGCCTTTCTCAGCCACTCGACAGCGCCGACTCCATTCCCCGCCACGAAACTTGGGACTCCAGCGCAGACCAGCACCTTTCTCGCCACTGAATCGACACTGAAGATCATCGTCGCAACGCTCTGAAAATTAGCACACCACGGCAAGAAGTCATGATTGGTGATCGATCGAAAACACAGCCTTACTCTCTCGGTGCCTGCTGCAACACCTTCCCGGAGAGCAGTCGTGTCGAGGCCAACGTCGACTCTTAGAACGGACCATTTGAGGCCCCGCAAAACTGCCTGATCCACACAGCAAACTGTTGTCTCTATTGCTCTCTGCAGATTCAAGTCCAGAGCCCGTTGTCTTCCGATGGTTTCTTCTGTTGTGGTGGTTATGGGGGTTGACAGTAGCACAGATATCTCGAGCCCGCGGCTAAAAGCTTGGTTGAAGAGAATGCGCGTGTGGAGTGGAGAGATAAATGGGAACCACGAGAGGAAGATGATGGGAGCGAAGATCACGTAGCCCATGCCGACGTCGTAGCTCCAGGCCCAGACGGACATGAGCCACCACAGCCTCGCCTTCTTGAGCCATGGTTTGCAAGCTATGCCAATCTGCGAAGAAAGAGTTGGAGGTGATAATGGATTGGAGGGAAGCTACACAAAGCTTACGCTGAGAATCCCCCAGCCGGTGGGAATGAGAGCTAGGATGCTCGCTATAACATCCAGGACTTGGAGCCTCAGCGTGAAGACGCATCCGGTGATGAAGGCAGCGAGAAGAACTATGAATGCAAGGAAGTGAACAAAGCGGAGCTTGTTACTGCTCCTTGGGCTGAGCGACAGGAACTACAAAAGAGAGAAACGTTTGATTAGCGTGAGAGCTGGCTGGGTTTGGAGCTTACCGCCACTAGCAAGCCTATGCAAACGAACAACACCCATGAACTTGCGTACACCTGACAGCACAAGCTCTCTTGTTTGTGCATGCTCTTAAAGACGAAAACACAGCTTTTACCAGCAGAGAGATTGTTCCGACACCCGACCTGAGGTGATAAGCCACTCCAAACTGGATAAGGAAGAAGCGTAAGCTCAGGATGCATTCCACGGCTCTAGCTCGGAAGCCCATCAAATCCGTCTAGCAGAAAGAACAAGAGAAACACGAAACTAGTAGTTTTCAAGTTGGATAACTTTTCTTGTACCCGTTTTTCCCACCAGGTGGCCCAGCTCTCGTAATCCGGGGCGGAATGGCTCTTGTTTGTAAGCCAGTTATTCCAGTTGGTTATGTCTTCCACAGTCCTGGAAAAGAAGAATTTATCATTCGTGCAAACAACGCCATCAGACTAACTTACTTTTGCCACTCAAAGCTGAGTGGATTGAAGAAAAACGGGGCGTAGAGCCAGCATATGGCAAGGAAACCGATGTCCAGAGCCAGTAGAACGTATCCTTTTCTTGTCCGTTGTGCTCCATATACCACGTAGACGAACAACAGCATTGCTATCTCCAAACTACACGGGGATTAGCTTCGAACGAGGACATAAAAGACGTACCCTTTGACAAAATGGCTGCGCGAGTAGAAGCGATAGTTCTCAGCAAAATGGACGTGCTCAATGACAAATCCACGCCCAGTGCTGCGATACTGACACACAACATCCATGGTTTAGAGGAGCTTCGAAGTTAATTCTTTCTTCACTTGCCATTGCACCTCCATGGAGTATCGTCCTACCAAAGTAGTGTGTTCTTGTGGCCAACGAGAAAGCAAAGAAAATAAACGAGCCCAGCAGCCACATGAGAATGAAGTACTGTAGAGCCTGAAAGTGAATAAAACTGAGCTTGTGAGACATTCCTTGTAAACTTGGAAAACATCACCTTGAGAAAGCCTTGCTCCAAAATGTAGCCCGTGACCATGGGAGCGCAGTTTAAGAACCCATACTGAAAAATCGCTTGCGTTGCAAGCACTGATTCCAGTGCGTTGTTGCCTTCTATGCGAGCCTTTGTCAGCATATCTTTTTCCACCCCCGACAGAACCTTCACAAGAAGACACAGAACTATTACGTGAAGTTGGGAAGTTTAGGACTACCATGTAAACTTTCCCATACAAGTATGCATAAAGTGCCACGACTATCATCTGTAGAAAAAGAAAAATGAAAAAAGAAAAAAGTCCAAGTTTACAATGATTTGAATTCATGCTTACCGCTGTAGATATATAGAACCCAACAGATGTATAGTAAAACGACAGCATTCTCCAGAAATCAAAGAATCGTGCCAAGCGGTAGACGTCCCTGCTGAGGATCTGCTCGCCATTTCCGCTCGAGACTTTGGCCTCAAATGCTGATATTTGATTCAGCCCCAGGTCCCGACCTTTACCAACTTGAATATATTCGTGATGGGTCACCATGCCACCTCTGAGTGTAGAATTGTATCCTACAATTGCATTCGATTAGTTCACACCGAGCAGAGGTGTGACTTACCAGCAAAGATGTCTTCACTCAAGTTGATGGTTCTCGAGGCTTTGCTGATCCCACCCCTGGTTATGTGAAAGATCCGATCAAACACATCTGGATGCCCGTAGTGCATTCGTATCCTGCATACAGTATTGTAGAAGGTTGGGAAATGTAAAGCAGGACTTACTTCAATGGATTTGCCATGACTCGTTGGGAGAGAGTAACAAAGGTGGTTTCCTGATTGGACATGAACCACGCTAGCGATGAAACACTGCAAAAAAAAAAAAAAAAATCAATTTTCAAGTGCGAGTTTGATTTAGTACCTTCCAGTAAATACATGCTCTCGGACACCCAAGATGGTCGGCACTTGTCTGTCCGGTTTCTTGTGGGGAGGGCGGAATTCCTCAAGTAAGTTTCGCATTTTTAAAGCCTCCTCAAAGTAATTGTCCTAGACGGAAACAATTATCAAAACGGTAAAGATTAAGTTATTGCATAGGTCACTTGATTCATGTCAATTGTTTGCAATGCTTCTCCACGGGTAAAGATGATGGCATGGTTTTGGTTTTCCGGCTTTCCCTCGCCGATGCGAAAATCACCGGGAAGCTCAATGCTGTATATTGTCTAAAAAGAAAAAAATGAAAATAAAAATAAGAAAGAAGCGACAATCGAGTATTACTTTTATATCTTTCCCATCAAGCATTGCAAGCTTGGATGAATGCGTTTTCCCATCGTTTCCTACGTCGATATATGCCACTCTTAAAAGTGGATGCCTGTATCACAGAATTCATGTTAGTTCACAAAATCATGGATATTATACTTCTTCATCAAAAAGTTGATGTCATTTGCTTTAGTGTGCTTGGTTTTTATAAATTCGCCGTATCTTTGAGCAGCTACAATATACGTGAACTTTTGCGCAGGCACGAGGTCTGTGCAATCCAAGTTTAAGTAGCTGCCAAAAGAAAATCGTCGATTAACCAACCTATTAACTCATCACCGTCGCCCCCGGTATGTTGAAACTTCAAGGCATCATAATAATACATCATTCCTCGAACTGCATACGAAAGATATTGCACAAATCAACAATCAAAGTGATTGAATGTGCACTTACCCGTCCTTGCCAAAGTCTGGCCACGATATGAAGCCCAAAGTCGGATTTCGTCGTCGTCCTCAGGAAGGCTTTTCTTCCCTATCCTTTTCTTCTCCATCCTTTCGTTAAAATTCTCCCATTCGTCTGCAACACCATGCTAGCATGCTATCTATAATTCAGCTCACATACCTGAGTAGACAAGCTGGAGATAATATAGCGTGGTAATCCCATCTTTGTTTTTCGTATGAAGGTCGTTTGTGCTATATACAACTTCCTCATCCAGATATGGTGTCAAAACGCTGCAAGCAGAAGAATATTAAATTTTTTTTGAAGAGAACACGCCTGTA